AGCCAATTCTCCTGTTCAAGAAGAAGGCAAAACTCCTTTGAAGAAACCAAGGAAGGAGCCATARATGTGTTCATTTTGTGGCAAGTCGTTCGCGTGCCCTTCTTGGCGCGATCGACACGAGAAAACACACACAAAGCARCTSAAAACAATCCAACCTGAGCCCGAGGTTTCCACCAGTAAGGCCGTCCGTTCTCCAACTGACCGCTCGCTTCCTCATGTTTGTAGCGACTGTGGTAAAGGATTTGAATATCCATCTCGYCTTGCYCGRCARCGTGCWGCTAAACACCCACCTTCAAAAGCCAAAACCGCTGACCCTCGTAAGCATGTTTGTCGTGACTGTGGGCGCGGATTTGCAGTACCAGCTTGGCTGACGCGCCACAGGATGAAAGCACACAGCAACAGTTTTGCATCAAAGAAGCATATGTGCGGTGTCTGTGGGCGATCGTTCGCTGTTGCCGCGTGGTTGGCCAGACACCAGAAAGTACACGAAAGTTCAGTAGAACAAGAAATTACRACCCCCTCTAAGGACTCCACATCAACCTCATCTGAACCAAAAAAGAAGAAATTTCAGCTGCCGTGGGTTTGTGGGGACTGCGGAATCAGATTCAAGTTTGTMTCKTGGCTGAAAAGACATCAYAAGAATAACAAGCATAGCAARGGTTACTTCGACAGGGAGGACCAGCAAGACTTGTATAAATGGGGCTGCGACCATCCCGGCTGTGACAAGGCCTACAAATTGAAACACCATCTTGCTCGRCACAAGCTCACTCATCTTCGTGGCTCCGAGACGCCTGAGAAAGTTGAGAAACCAGAACCTAATTTCGTGTGCAAACTCTGCGGTAAAGAGTTCATGACGAGAAGAATGTTTACGAGACACGAAGTGAAGCATTCCCTAGTGAAAGCGTCTGGAAAGTTTGAGTGCAGTATTTGCAGCAAAGTTTTCGACACAAAAGATTTGTTGGAGAGGCACTTTAAGAGAATCCACGGTAATGAAGTGTCAGCGGAGAGCGAATCTCGCGCGATTGGACCACCATATTCTTGCCGCTACTGTAGCAAACAATTTGACCAACCATTGGCGTTTGGCAGACACATAGCTCACCATAAGAAACGRGAAAGAACCTTAGCTGCAAAGGAAACAGCAAGTGCCCAACAACAGCGTGACAAAACCAAGCGTGACACCTCCGAACGTGACACCACCAAAAGCGAGTCATCAGAACGTGACCCACCAAAGCGTGACACCTCCAAGCGTGACACAACAAAGCGTGACAAACCTGCTAACGAATACCCATACGAATGTGACGAATGTGGTCGMCGCTTTGCGGTATCGTTTTGGCTAACGCGACARAAAGCTGAACATGAGAATGAGCACCCTCACAAYTGCGACGAGTGTGGGAGAAGCTTTGCTGTAGCGGCTTGGCTAACAAGYCACAAACGAGATCACGAGACTGCAACGACGACAGTGACGTCACATGACATCATCAAACCTGAACCAATCATGAAAGGAAACTCTAAAGTCTACCAGTGTGACGTATGTGGGATGGAGTTCACATGGCCTTCATGGATGCTGAAGCACCGAAAACTACACAAAGTACAACACACTAAAGTTAAGCCAAAGAAAAAGAGCGCCACGAAAAAGACAGCAAGTGTCGCTAAAACTGAGGACGCAGAGAACTACGAAGGGAAGAGTGTCCATGAGATGTTCGAGATGGTTGAGAAAGATGGCGTTAGGGAGTACCAATGTAAAGCCTGCAAGAAGACCACGATATGGCACACAGGGATCATATACCATATTCGTGTTCACCACACCCATGAGAAGCCATTCAAGTGCAAAGTTTGTTCGAAAGCCTTTCATATGTCAGGTGACTTGACCAAACACAATCGACGTCACACCGGAGAAAAGCCTCACTACTGTCGATACTGTAAAAAGAGTTTTGAAACGTCTCAGCAGGTCAAAAAGCATGAAGAATCTCACACGAAATCCAGTCCCTTTCATTGCAAGTACTGCGGAAAGGGATACCGTGATAGAAGTTCTGTCTGGAGACATATTGCAAGGAAATCTTGCCCAGGAAGTACTCAAGCTACGCAGAGTAAATCCAGCGCGACTTCGGTACTGAAAAAAGCGAGGAAGACACTCCGATCGCAATCTCAAGCCCCAAATGAACGACTCGAAAAACAGGATAAACCAGATAAACAAGAAAGCAAGCAAAAACTGGACAAACTAGAAAAATCTGACTCCAAACAAAAGACGGAGAAACAGGAAAAGCAAGACAAACCTGTTAAACAAGATAAACCAGTCAAAAAGGATAAACTTGGTAAATTTAAGACAAAGTCACAAGATAAGAAAATGGCGAAGAAAAAGTCATTTCTTTGTAAGAACTGTAACAAAACGTTCCCGAACTCAGATGCCTTCAAATCGCACATCAAAAGCTACAAGAAAAATAACCAAATTGTATGTGAGTACTGTGGAAAGTGCTGGGTTCGTACAGCTGATCTGAAGKGGCACCTTCGCGTGCATACCGGAGAACGTCCCTATYTCTGCCCTGACTGTGGTCTGGCATTCAAAGTYTCAGATGCACTTAAGCGTCACATGCTAAAGCTKCACCCAAAATCAACCAAGAAGATCATCGTCGTGAAAACAGAGAGTTCAAGCGATACGGAGAGTAAACAGCTATTTCTTGATGATTCACTCAGTGAAACTACTGATAATCAACCTCAGGACAGCAACGACAATGAACCAAGTTCATTAAAAGATCAACAAAACGATAGCGAAGAYGAATCTTCGTTGAAGGACACTAATTTATCGTCTGTGGACGATTCGGATGTACATGAGGTCAGCGCTGATGGAGGTGATAATATTTTAGAGCATGCAAAAGAAGAAAATGCGAYAGAAGACGCGAAACTGGAAAATGCACAGGAGGAAAATGAGAAACTGGAAAYTGCAAAAGAAAAGGAGAAACAGGAGAATGAGYAARCGGAAAATGCGAATCAAGAAAACGCYAAACGAAAAATGCCAAATCACGAWAATGTTTATCAGGACAATGAAAATCAGGAAAATGCGAAACACCAAGYAGWAAAACAGGAAAACGAKAATCAAAATCTTCAACAGAGTACAAATCCGAAGAAGGTCAAACGGCCTAAAACGAAGAAGAAGAAGACCAAAATCACCAAACACAAATGTGACTTTTGTGGGAAGCTATACTCTGGACCAGGTAATCTGGCACGTCACGTTCGTCTTCACACCGGCGAGAAACCATTCAAGTGCAAAGAATGTGGTGAAAATTTTATGCGCTCTGATATTCTTACACAACACATTGGCAAGCATCACTTCAAGTGAGAAGCGGATCAAGCATCGCAGCTTTGATAACGAGAATTATTCAAACTAATGGAAGAAACCATTAGAGTGTTCTATATTCGTGACTTTATGACGTTTGCTTCTGAGGTATTCGTTTTATGGTCGGAAGAAACCTGTCAAATTCTTCATGGCAGAAACCTTTCAAAGTATCTCATGTTGTTGTCATCAGAAAAGCCATTTAAGTGCTACTGAGAAAACTTTCAAAGCTTAATTGTAATCTTTAAAATCTTAGTTGGGCAAAATTTTGAAAACTCATCATTTTGCCATTGAAAAAACCGTTCAAAAGTTTCCACGAGGAAACCATTCAAATGCTTCACCGAGGAAACCATTCAAATGCTATTGCGAAAACTGTATTTCCAAATGTGTCGTGGTAATACTTTGGAGGATTTTAAAGATAAAGGAAACGCGTCAAGTGCTTCATTGATAAAACCTTTTAAATGCTTCACTTAGGAAACCAGTCAAATGCTTCATSGAGGAAATCTTTCAAATGCTACRGTGAAAACTTTGGTTTCAAATGTTTCGTGGTAATGRTWTTGAGGAAACGTGTCAAGTGCTTCATTGATAAAACCTTTCAAGTGCTTCACTTAGGAAACCAGTAAAATGCTTCGCTGAGGATACCATTTAAATGCTTTAATGAGAAAACCAGTCAAATGCTTCATTGAGGAAACCTTTCAAATGCTTCAATAAACTTTTCAAATGCTTCAGTATCATCTAAACCTCACGAAGGAAACGCATAGTTTAGCAAARGATGGAACATGATTCAAAGTTCACTTATTTGATCAAACAGTCAAGATGTTAAAATATTATCGTCAAGACTCGTCATTTGCGAAGCTGTAAACATGGTACATTYCACAAGACTGAATATTATTGTTATTGTTATCTACCTGTAGCATCAACCGTAGTTTGTTTGTAATTTAGTGATTAAGTGATTCTCGGTAACTCACGTCACTTCGCTAATCAACATGACGTCATGTAGTGGAAAGGATCATCGCGGTCCGTCCCTTACTGATAAAAAAAAAACTAAATATTGATGTACATAAATGAGACATAGTAGCATTTAAGACTACTTTCACACAGGGCTGGTCAAGTATTCTTGGTATTATTGGTGATCATGCTCATYAACGCGCAGCCAAAATGCCCCAAAATGTGAATGATTCTAGTAGAATTAACGCGCTTAATCCGTGGAATTTAACTAGCCTCTTTGTACTATTTTGTGCAATCTACTGTTAATTGTGTTCATTAAGAACAATGGTGATAAAAAGGGTATCCGAGTGATCGCTCTTAACCCGTGCAACTGTACAAACTAAATAGTGCTATTTAGTTGTATTTAGTTAATCGTGCATGCGGGTTGCACTTCAACGATAATGGTTGTAAAATAAAGACACAAGACGCATTTCTAGTGAACTAAAAAAAGTCACAGGACGCATTTCCAGTAAAGTAGGATGCAAATTGAATTGATTCTATCAAATGAAGCATTCAATGCCGTATTGCTTCAGGTCCACTTTTAGTCCAAATTAGTACTACTTAGATTTTGTACAGTTGCACGGTTTAAGTGCGATCACTCTATTTTGGTATTTTGATTTTGTACACTGATTTCACGGATTACATGCGTTCACTCTACCAGCCTTTTGTAGAACGTAGTCTAACGTAGAGGAATCGGAACCCAGCTGTCCGAGGCCCGATTGACTGATTTCCGTTACTGTTATTTTCATTATAGTTAGATATATTTTTTCAAATTGAAATATCTATACAATAACATGTATGTAATTTAATATATTATAAATACAAGTAAATAAATATACGTTGAAATCAATGTGATTTTATATTGGATACATTGAAATCTTTAAACCGGTGAAACAAAATTTGACTATTAAGGTGTCATAGAGGGGATTGAAACACAACTTTACATACTGGAAGTCGGCGAATATTCACCTTCGCCGTTACCTGCGCCATCTTGAAAGGTAGCTGTGCCTTTGCATCGAAGCAAGACAACCGTTGAGCGTGCAATTATAGAAGTCTTCTCTGACACCTACAGACAATTATTCGCAGTTATCTATCATTGCACGCTCAACGGTCGTCTCGCTTCGATGTAAAGGCATGCTCAGGTCATCGGACTCTTTTTTAGTGTAAGTGTTGTCATGGTGATGTACTAGACATCAGTCTGTTGCCATGGCTACTGTATTTATCATGACGATTGCAGTATCATCAAATGTTGTCATTCTGAAATTGTCGTGGCAATGGAGGTAACCCTCATTTTATTASGGCTACRTTATAAGATGGCGCAGGTAACCGTGAAGGAGACTATTCGGAAAAAGGACTGCAGMACTTTATTCYACTGTTTTAGGGAAYTACTAGCTCTGTTATCGTCGTGCKCTAATAGTTTTTACCTGGTTCATGGACAARGCCACGTCTGATKTGGCCCTCTTCACATCGCGCGGCTATAACTAACGCTGTAACTGGGCAAAAGAAACAACTTTCGCAACAAGTCTAAACATCAACCTCATAAGAATCGATTTCATCAACCGAACCTTGCCGTAATAAATAGTTTTTACTTAGAACAAGGAGAGTGCGATGTCTGATCTGACCCTCTTCACATCGCGCGGCGATAACTAACGCTTAAACTAGGCAAACGAAACTAACAACTTTCGCAACAAGTCTAAACATCAACCTCGTAAAAATCGATTTCATGAACCGAACCATGCCAAAATAAATAGTTTTTACTTGGTACATGGAGAATGCGACGTCTGATTTGGCCCTTTTCACTAAAGGTGCGGCAATAACTAACGCTTAAAAAGAAACCTTACAACTTCCGCAACYAGTACTACACATTAACCTCGTAAGAATCGATTTCATGAACAGAGCCCTTCATCTCGTCAATCGAAGGCCTTATTTGACGTAAATCGGCACTTCGCATCTTCCATTGGCTGGGAATCCTCGGCGGGATTTGAATCGGAGTGGCTTCGTTAGTGCTTCGGTCGTCTTCGTGGTCATCTTCGAGTTTCTTCTTTGTAAAGATATCACGGCACACGCGTGCTAGACGTACTCCGAGCGCCTGCATGTAGCTTTTTGGCCCCTGAAAAACGAGCATATTCTATGTATAATCATTTTGGAAAATTAAGTGAAATTTTACAGTCATTAAAGAGAGGTTTTCTACGCTAATTTTTAAACGTCTATCACTGCCTGCACGTCAAGGTTCCCGGTGCGTGGCGGGTATCTAAAAGGCAAGCATACTGTCCCCCAACCGTTACGTATACAATACGTTACAACCGTTACGTATACAATATTTGCGGCGAAATCCCTAACACACGTGTAAGCCCAGTTTCGTATCCAAGCTCTTTACGCTTTGCTGAGGAAACCCCTGAAAACTACAATCATGGACAAAATTTTTGGGACAACTGTACAAAGTTTCAATTTTTCATGCTTCTTCGCTGTAGCGTCTATCTTCATCCCCTCCCCCCTAATCTATGTTGATTTCATAATGAAAAGTTTGTTGTTACACAGCACATTCATGTACGAATCTCCAACATTGAAACAAGGGGGGTAGGGTAGGGGACCGCAAAATAGGGTTGTAAGTAGGGGAACAATGAGACGCACAAAAAAGTTTACACCACCCATATGTTGTCCCATTCTATTTTGTCCATGATTGTAGGTTGGGTAAGGCTTTCGACAAAAATCAAGATAAAAGCAAGGATTACTAATTTTGCCTGTCCCCTACCCMGTGCGTTTACCTGTTTGGTGGCCACATCTCTTATACAAGCGTAAGTCCATTCGAAGATCATGAAGATCAGCCCTAGGCCAAGACCGATACCCATAAAAATAAACACACCCAGCATGTCCTTGAGACGTACACGCTGAACGAAGGTCGACCCTAAAACGGTTACTTACATTAGATGCCTGAAAAACCTGGGTCTGTTGTATGAAGGGTGGATAAGGCTATCCGCTCCTTAGATTATATATGGATTTTATCGGCTGGATATAGAGAATATTACATGGGCGCGCGGAGATACGGATTTTATCTTCGAGTGTTGAAAAGATATTTCACGAGTGAGCGTAGTGATTTTCAACACAAGATAAAATTCGTTTATCAATGAAAGCAAATTACGTTTTAAAGTAACTTTTCTTCACCTCCAATATATGGAGAATCCTCTAATGTGTTACTTTCACTAGTGAAAATAACAATTTTACGTAATGGAGAAATATAGGTATTTCACAAATAATTATATGATAAATATAGGTATTTCATAGATAATTATATGATAAATATAGGTATTTCATAGATAATTATATGATAAAAAGATTTATCAGCTGGATAATGCTATTCACCCTTTGTACAAACGGCCCTTCTTGATAAGCCATTTTCGCGGATACGGGAATACTTCCTTTTGGCCCCCTTTGGGCGAATACCTTCCCTCCCCCTTTGGGTGTCCCCCTCCTCCTCCCCCCTACCCCTACTCCTCCCCTACCCTACTCCCAAGGAGTGCAAGTATAACCACTTCTTATCGTATCACAGCGAGAAAGGTCGTGACTAAAAATTGTCTCTACCTCTCTTGCCGTTGTCTTGTTTCAAATTATCATCCACGGCCTCACAGCTTTCTTTTTCCGACCACTTATGCATCAACTTGTCGATAATTAGATCCCTTTGCAGTCGAAATATTTCCATATTAAAGAGCTTAGTNTCCCAACTTTCGCTGTAAATTAGCAAGCAGATAGCTTAACAATAAATGAACAGTAACAAAATTATTGTCGTTTAAGGAAGACAACAAGAGAGAGTGGAGATTTGATTGGTGAGTATAACAGAGACGCGATGGACTGAGGATAAAAGGCAGACCACGTGACTATAGACATATCAAAAAAAGTTGTCGGAGAAAACGTATGCATTCTAGAACCCAGACCCTCCTGATTCAAGTAGCAGTAATAGGGGGAATCTACGTAGCACTCAGTTGATGTAATATATTCATAAAGATATAATACAAAACACATGATACAATAGAACGAGAAACAATGGAATACAATACATTTTATGAATACATTACATCAACTGCGTGCTACGTAGGTCACCCCTAGCAGTAATAGGCGATGTGCAGCGACGCCATTTTGTGCGAATAATAAATACCCATAGTAACTTGCGGTCGTGCATTCTCCAATTTCCGCGACAACCCTTTTTGAAAAAGCTGTATTAATTGAGACTGATCAGAGCACGACAGTGTGAAGAAAAATTATCATCGTGCATGACATACAGGACACATACGTTATTTTGCTCTTTTTACATCGTCTGCCTTTCCCATTTTTCTTGCAAACCGTTTTCTTGTCACTGACGGGGAAACGACACATGAAAAATAATTTCAAAAAAAGAAAGAAAACAATTCGYTCATTTCACTTGTCTATAGTTTTATATCTTGTGTATATTTTGTATATTTTTGCATTTCAAAAGCTGTCAGAGAGAGCAGAGCGCGATGAGAGAATGAAAGTCACCTTATTATCAGTATAGTCGCCATCTTGGATTATCAATTATAAAACGTCCTTTCCTTTTTTCTTCTTGATCATTTTTTAATCGCCGAATCTGTTATTTGTTTGTATGAAGCTTAGATTTATGTCTATGTGTGAATCTAGCTCTTACGCAAGCAATTTCCTTTTTGGGGTGTAACAACACTGTAAGAACAAAGATTGTGATTGGATGAAATAACAAAGAGATATAGACAATACAAAAAACGAAGATGTCCAGTAGAACAATAGGCATTGTCTGACATAATCCTACAATTCTTGTTTTTGTGTCTCGACCAATCACAAGCTTCGTTCTAACGGTAGTGATCGACCCTTCCTTTTCAGTCTTAAAATTATATTTGAGGTTCCCTGCTCCTGCCTAGTTACTAGTCCCACTCTCTTACTGATTTACAGGAAGCCCGTTAGCCTGGGGAGTTGGCTAGTTTGAGTCAGGCTCAAGGAATATTTCAATGGTACCTACCCCCCTATAACCTTAAGCTTGCCACAGTACTTCTTCTGCCGTGTGATATACTCTAGTATGGGTCGATCGGCGATGAAAGCGAAGTTGTCATTCATGACTCGTTTGATYGCTGTATCGTAGTCAGGCATCCACGTGTTTTGTTGGTCCATGGACTGACCCATGACTAGGAATCTACAATGATAGTAAACTCTCTCGTAAGCGACCACCTCGGGATCAGGAAAAAGTGGTCGCTTACGAGAGATGGTCGCTTACGAGAGAGTTTTGTTTTTTGCAGAGTTTATATGGGAAACAATTATAACGGTAAATTTGGTGGTCGCTTACGGAAGATGTTCGCTTACAAGAGTGGTCTTCAAAGAGAGTCAACTGTATTAAGATATCAATAAGAAATACTAATAGTCTGCCGTTGGATTGCAAAATTGCAGGCTCATGGTACAAGATAGCTATAACTAGGAAATGTGCAGCAACGCCATTTTGTAGAGCAAAGTATGATGGGAATTGAAGTTCTTTTACTTTTCATAGTTCCTAAAGAAAATCCCCCTAAAAGTTTTTCTTTGTCGAAACAGCCAAACTACTTTTATTTTCGCAAATAAAAAGCAAAGACGTATTAGAATTATTTTAGCGGAAATGAAAAAGTGCGGACTACAACTCCCATCATGCTTTGCTACACAAAATGGCGTCGCTCTACATTGCCTAAGAGTATTCTGATTCTGATTATGAGTGTGCTTATGACTACGATCATCTTATTGACTTTAAACTAACCGTGGTACGTCTGTATTAAGAAAGAATCTCTGTAGCTGAGAGTCCATTAGAGTACCATACTTGATCTTAGTCTGTAGAGCGAGGTCCTCCACACTCTCAATTGGGGTCTGCATTCGGGACACAGTAAGATGTGCGGCTAGGTTGGCTGTATACGTAGCGTTGAATATCATTGTAGCAAACCAGAATACTAACACCGCTATTTTGCCTGACAAGGAGGCAGGATGTTGTCCCCCCTGACGGAGGTAACA